AGATCTTGAATGCCCAACTTGCACAACAAAAAATCAAAACTGGGTTTTGCTAACGGTTTGGTGAAGATATCGGCCAACTGATATCTTGTCGGAACATATCTCGTCGAAACCTCATGCCGCTGGACACTTTCTCTAACAGTGTGACAATTAACATCCACATGCTTCATTCGCTCATGAAAAACTAGATTGGCTGCAATATATAAAGCTGACTGAGTGTCACAATATAATTTGGGGGGATATAAAATAGGCACACCCAAAGCAATGAGAATCCCGCGCATCCAGCGGATCTCCACACAAGCATTTGCCATAGCCATGTACTCATCAGCCTCCGCAGAAGATCGAGCAACAGTGGTTTGTTTCTTCGTTTTCCATGACACTGGATAGGTACCTAACATGATAAAATATCCGCTAACAGACCGGCGAGATAATGGGCAGTTGGCCCAATCAGAGTCAAAATAAGCCGAAATTTGGAGATTGCTGGTGGCGCTGAGAAAGATGCCCTGACCAGGGTGACCCATGATGTATCGAAGAACACGCATGGCGGCATTCATGTGATCCAGAGTAGGAGCCTGCATAAATTGAGATAAGACATGGACAAAATAGCAAATATCCGATCGAGTAATAGTGAGGTAAATTAGGCGCCCCACGAGACGGCGGTACTGCGCGGGGTCGTGAAGTGCAGCCGCGGTCGACCGGCCAAGTGTGTGCGTCGTGGGTAACGGCGTATCTGCGGGCTTGCATCCCAAAAGCCCGGCCTCTTGCAAAATTTCCAATGCATATTTGCGTTAACACAACACCATACCCGAAGCGGATCGAGCACACTCAATGCCCAAAAAATATTTAACTGGGCCTAAATCCTTCAGCTGAAAACAGCTGTCCAAATACCGTTTGAAAGAAGTGCATAACGAAGGATTATTGCCTGCAACTAGAATGTCATCAACATAAACCAAAACTGTAAGAATATACAGGCCATGACGAAGAATAAATAGAGTATGATCCTTATGGGCCTGTTTAAAACCCCACTTTCGAAGAGCAGTGCTGAGTTTATGAAACCAGTTACGTGGAGACTGGCGTAGCCCATACAATGATTTCCATAGGCGGCAGACTTTTCCGGGAATGGAAAAACCGGGAGGCATGCCCATATATGCTTCCTCAATAAGATCCCATTCAGAAAAGCGTTATTAACATCAAGCTGATGAATCTCCCAACCTCGCGCTACAGCAACAGAGTAAAATACGTACCGTTCCCATTTTGGCCACGGGAGCAAACATATCTGTATAATCTGTCCCAAATTCCAGATGATTGCCCAAAACCAAAAGACGAGCTTTATCACGCTCCTTCGTACCATCAGAGTGAAACTTTGTACGGTAAACCCATTGACATCCAAGAGCCGTCCAATCTGGGGTTAGGTCAGTTACCTCCCACGTGTGATTATTTTCCAAGGCTGTGATCTCCAGTTGCATAGCATGTCTCCAATTAGCAGGTTGCATGGCTTGTTTGAAGGATGTGGGGACTTCGCAAGAAGTCACTGCAGCTAGAAATCCACGGTACCTGTCATGCAATTTCTCATAATGAACAAAATTATGGATAGGATATCAAGTACCTGAAGACTTGGATGGAACAATGCGTAGAGCAACGGGAGTAGATGTCCGGGCGGTGTGACAATTGTAATCGGATAACCTTGCGGGGGGTCTCCGATCACGGGTAGGACGGGTAGGCGACGGCGGACTGTCCAGGGCAGACTCGCCGTCGCTATCGGTAAGAGGTGGGGACTGCCCGGAGATAGGAACGGACGCCGGCAACGAAGACGGGTCGGCTGGAGTCACGGCAGGTGGTACTGCGGGAAAATCAGCGTGGGTTGGCCGTGAGGAAACCTCGGTTGCCGAGGTCGGCGTGGTGGACAATGCAAACGGGAAGACCGTTTCCTCAAAGGAAATGTCACGGGCATGAAAAAACCGGTGAGATTCAAGATCATATACACGCCAACCCTTCGTTCCCGTAGGGTATCCCACAAACATACATTTAAGACTATGGGGGTGAAATTTATTTGGTGGACGTGGGTTAAGACGAATATAACACAAACACCCAAATACCCGAAGATGAGACAAGTCTGGAGGTTTTGAAGAAAGTAGTTCAAACGGTGATTTTCCCTGTAACAGAGGAGTAGGGGTTCGATTTATGAGATACACAGCGGTGTACGCACTCCCCCCAAAACTCAAAAGGCAAAGAAGCCTGAAACATTAATGAACGGGCCACATTAAGAATATGCCGATGTTTGCATTCCACACGCCCATTTTGTTGTGGGGTGTGAACACAAGAAATTTGAACAAGGACCCCCATGTTGGTATAAAACTGACGCAAAGTTTTATTCACAAACTCAGTACCATTGTCTGTGCGAACCATTTTTATAACTCTCCCGAATTGAGTTTGAATCATTTGAAAAAATTGTTTCAGACAACTGGTAACTTCTGTTTTGTCAATAATGAGGAAAACCCAAACAGCTCTAGAATAATCATCAACAATAGTGAGAAAATAATGAGAACCAGTAGACAAACACGGAGAATAAGGACCCCATAAATCACAGTGGATTAAATCAAACAATGCATCAGCTTTATTAGTACTCTGGGAAAAACTAGATCAAGTTTGTTTTGAAAAGAAACAAATGTCACATGACTGAAAATTTTTAATTTCAGCAGTGCTTTATTGAAAGGAGGTAAAGACAAAACTTGAGGTGATGGATGGCCAAGACGCTGATGCAATAGGGAAACGGATTCAGCTTTGGATGCTTGGGCGTGGGAAGGGAAGACATAAACTCCATTGCGCACTTCACATCGTCCAATCCGCGTCTTCGAAGTTCAGTCCTGTATCACACAAAATTGGTCATCAAAGAAAACATGACAGTTATGAGAGTTGACAAGACAACTCACAGAAATCAAGTTGCATTTTAAATTCGGCACATAAAGCACATTAGTTAAAACCAAAGTCGGAGATAGTTGCACTCGTCCACACGAGTTGGCAACGACTCGTGCTCCGTCAGGCAAGCTAATGGTGCAAGGAGACACGGATTTGATGTCCGTTAAATACGACAAAACTCCTGTCATATGATGAGAAGCCCCACTAACGATTATCCATTCACTCGAAGTAGGACGGAACATACCTTGCAACTTATCGGGATTTGAGGGCGATGATTCTAGCATGGAGAAGAGACGAGCAACTTGATCGGGTGATAGTGCAGAGAGGGAGGGGGGTGCTTCGGCCGCTGCATTGGCTGATGGGCCAGCCGTTCCCCCATGCTGACCTACGGCTGTAGGTGTTGGCTAGGCTATAGTTCGGCCGCCCCTTTTCCCGCGACCTCCCCCTCGGCTAGATGACTGACGACCACGTCCCCTGCCCGAGTTAGGAAACCCAATAATCATATAGCATCTATCAACGGTATGCCCTGATTTGCCACAATGAGTGCATTGATATACGTTTGAATTTGTTCGTGATGTAGCAAACGCCATGGCATCCGTGTGGTCATCTCGAGCACGAACCACGTTTTTGTGCCGTTCTTCTTGGGTGATCAAATAGAATGCCTTATTAAGATCCACCAATGGTTGAGTTCCAAGAATTTGGCCGCGTATGCTACCGAATTGCTCGTCGTCGAGACCCAAAAGAAACTTCCGAGTTTTTTTATTTTTTCCGCCCGATCTTTCAACAGTGCCGCCGCCTCACACTTGCATCCGCAGGTGGGATCTTCCATCCCATACAACTTGTTCCAAACAGTGACAAATTGATTATAATAAACAACCACAGTCTGACCTTTCTGACGGAGATTTTGTAATTCGTTTTCCAATTGATAAATATGAGGCTCATTAACCGTGTTATAGCGAGCCTTCAGATCTGTCCACAACTCATGAACCACAGTATGGGAAGCAATACTGGGTTGAATCGTTTCATCAACACTATTAAAAATCCAGCTACAAATTGTAGAATTATTCGCTTCCCAAGCCTCAAGTTCCATAGGATCTGTAGGTTTAGGCACACCAACGGGAGACAAAAAACCCGGCCTTGCTACGACCCTTCAAAGCATTAACAATAGTCTTTTCCCACGTATCAAAATTATCGCCTTTCAAGACATGTTTCGTGAGAGCATTACCTGGGCCCTCGGAAGGATGAAGATAATACTCATACGAGTGATCATGAATCAATCGGGTTTTCTTCGTGGTAGACGTCATTTCCGATCTTCAAAGCTTGACACAAAAGGACCAAATCGAGACACTCTCGGTCGCTATGCAGCTTCTGTCGAAGAACCAGCCGGAGAGATCGCCGAACACACAGCAAACGCCGACGGGAAAGATGATCGGCGTGGGTCACTCGATCGGGAGCAACACCGGAGAATCAGACGTATCGTGCCCAGGGTTTGGCTCTGATACCATGTAGAAATTTAAAAAACCGATCTGATCTTTATTAATCACAAGCAGTCGTATATATACAAATACAAAGCGGGCTAGGTTAACAAGTGGGCCCGACAAACTATTTACAGTCCAAAACTACAAATATCCGCTAACATACGCTAACCCTTAAACCCAGAAAATGTCAACCCCCCCCCCCCTCAATACTACGAACCCATCAAACATAACAAGAGGCTAGAAAGATCCCCAAACAGAATAGTTCCACCCTTGAATTAAACCGAGACGGAAAAATGTCAATTTCTTTTTCTTCTCATTCCCACTGCCCGAGATTTGGTTGTCCAAGGTGTCCTTCCCACATTTCTTTTTAGGGTCCGTTTGGTATACGGAATTAGTGGAATTGGAATTGAATTGGAATTGGGATTCCATGAGATTCAATTCTATAAAATTGAATTCACCAATTTCAATTCATTTTTTAGACTATCAATTCCAAATCCACATAATATTTGTGCTACCAAACACCAGAATTGGAATTGAAGTCCTCAATTCCAATTCCATAATTTGAATTTCTTGTACCAAACGAGGCCTTAGAGTTTTTGTTTCCTTTACATTTGTTACTCTTGAGAATAGCCTCCTATTCTAAATATGTGTGTTCATGAATGTCGTCTTCCGGCAGTGGGTCACTATCTTCTGCTTTGCCCATCTCTGAGCATTGCGTTTCTTCCCATCTAAGCAAAGGAATATTGATTGGTTTAGAACATTCGTAAGCCACTTCCAAGTCTAAAATGCTCAGTGGAGCAGCCTTTGTTGTGTTGTTGAAAACCTCTCGTGCAATTTAAAACAAATTAATAATTTATAAATATCCTTAGCTAACCCCAAAGATATAATCAAATATAAACTATAGCTAGGAGAAGTAAGGATCAATCTTACGGAGAAATTTTGTACCTTTGAAATCAAGTTAGCATGTGAATACGTTATCATTAAATAAAACAAGTTAACCACTACACGTATGATAAGACTTATAAAACTTATAATAGAAATAAAACTTATAAATAACTTATATAACAAAGAACTTATAATATAACTTATAAACTCATAACAAATACTTAAGTATAATAAAGTTAATAAAGTAAAAAAACTTATATAAATAACTTATAAACAAGAACTTACAATATAAACTTATTTAATAAAAACCTATACAATAACTTAAAACATGAAGGAGAGGGGTGTTGGACAAAAAGTAAATATTTTTTGGTTTTTCTATATTTTCTTTTTTTTTTTTGGATTTTTTGATAAATTGGAGGAAACAAGCTCAAAAGATAATCAACTTCTCCAATTTAGGTAACCCAAGAAACACCGCCACGAACCCAAACAAAATGGAAAAAAAGAACAAACACAAAATGAATATTACACGCAGAATAAGCACGTAGACAGTATATTACTTAACACTTACACACTTAAGAATATAAAATAATTCAAAGGCACGGGTTGAATCATATCCTTGACCATATATATAGGATCGTCAACTCTCTATAAGGCCCAAAGTCATGTAATTCAAAAGCTTTTTGGATCACTTTGAACCCTAACTCACCTCAAGCGCTCAAACAATGATTCCAAAAGATGAAAAAGTTTATAAAAGAACGAATCTTTCTTTCATTTTAAGTCACATGCATAATTTATCCACAAAGAACATTTTATACACTTTAATAATTTTAACGTCTAATGATGAAAATATTTTGCAGGTCTCCAAAAACAAATTAAGCATAAGAGTTCTAGTCTATTCACATAAGAGAACATTACATATTTTAAAAAAACTTAAAAATTATTTTTGTGCTTAAACAACCTTAATTTTTTTTGAAAATAACATAAAACAAACGAAGACATAAACAATCACTCAATAACGAATCTTAAGGAAAATTTCCAACTTATGGGGCTAAGAAGTCCATAAACCATAAAATTTTACAAACACACATCACAACAAAGAATCATATATGAATTCGAAAATCATTTAACTATAATACAGAGATATAATAGCTTCAATCAAAACCGAATTCCACTTACCAACCTACTAATGAAATCAAATTCGTTAACATGTGGCATGCGACATATGCATCCATTAATGAGGTGGAGACATTTCATTGGTCCATTTTGTTTTTTAAAAGATCTTTTAATACATTTTATTGTTTTACATTAAATTAATATTATTTTTTGGTATTGAAAAACATTACTTTAATTATACTTTGTATAAAAAAATTTATTTTTAATGATTCTATAAAAATATATTTTACTATTGTAAAATATAAATATATTTTACTATTGTAAAATATACCACGTATTTTAAATAGCCATATTGATTGTAATATTTAAAAAAGAGTATGTATAAGACTCTTTATTGTTAATTTAAAAACCAATTCAACAATAATTTGCACAATAATTGAAGAAAACTAGTACGAATTAATTCTCATTAATAAGAGATTTAATATAAAAACATTTAAAAAAACACCCATAAAAGAACATCAACCATATTTTTTTTTAGAATTTTCAGAATTTAATTAAAACAAGCATACTAAAATGTAAAATTGAAATAAAAAATACGTAGTAACACTTTACAAAGAATTGGGATGCAATTGAACAAAGAAGGGTACCACTTGTTGAAGAAGATAATGAAATTAGAGAAATTGGAACTTGAAGAAGACTGCCCACCCGCTCGCTGGAGGTGCCGCCGCCGACTTCCGCCTTCGTGCGTAGATAGCAGCGGCTAGAGCCGCTGCTCTATTCTCGTGTAATTCCCCTCGTTCTCCCCTCTTCTGAGCTGCATTTCATCTTCAATTTATAACAAGAACTACTTGCCACTAAACTTCTACCCGTTGGAGAATTGATTGTAGCGAATGTTGGAGGAGTTACGCTGAATTGGGCGCTGGTTTTACGCGAAGAAGAAGAAGTATCAAATAGGGGGGGAAGCGGCTGGGTCTTGTTATTTAACGTTGGGTTTGGGCTCCGGCCCAAATTCAATCTCTTATTTTCAAACTTGAGCTGCATTTTTGGCCTTCTGCTATATTTTTCTTTAAATAATAAGAAATCTGATAATTTGGATTGGGGAAAAAATAATACTTTCTCCGTCCCAAAAAGATTGGTACATATTGACTTTTTGGGAAATTAAGGGAGAGATAATTTGGTGTTGACTTTCCAAAAATACCCTTGATGTGATGGATAAAAGTAGTATGTGATGGGTAGATTATTAGGAAAAAGGTATGATGTGATAAATAGGGTATGAAAAAATAAGGGGTAAAAGTGGTTTTTTAATAGAAATGTAACAGACTTTACGGGACGCAGTTTTTTCGAAACGTGTCGGACTTTTTGGGACGGAGGGAGTAGAATGTAAAAAATGATTTAAAAACTACTATTTATGAAAGAAAATAAAAAAAATGTCAAAATAAGAATTAAAATAAAAATAAGATAAACAACTAAAATCAAACACTAAAAATATTAAATATGTCTAAAAAAGAATAAAAAAGAACTAACCCAAAAACTTATCATGTGTCTACCACTTGTGGTTTTGACATTGCTTTTAATTTGCCCGCATGGGCAGCTCAGTTGGTCGAGAACGTGAAATCTTAGACCGATGACCAGGGATCGAGTCTTGCAAGCGGCAGTGTGGGAGCTATCCAAAAATCCCATAAAGGGTGAGGAGGCTCCTTGTGCGCGGTGGGCACAAGTCTAGCGTTCTTGGCCGACTGAGTCACCATGATTTACCTCCTCCGCCATCCCTGTCGGGCCAGGGGGTGGGGGCGCCTGGGGTGGGGGCGCCTGGGGTGGGCGATTCCACCTTTTGGACCGACATTGCTTTTAATTCTTTTAGTGATAGACTTTTCTTACTCTGTATCCCTTCCTCAGTATCCTTAATGAGTTCAGCTTCACTTGTTTGGTTGCTTTGACCAACATTAGTGTGTCTTAAACCTTTAAAAGCTGGTTGGAAAGGTAGAGCTTGTACATTGAGAACTCCATATGGTTTGAACTGGTTTGTGAGTCTCTTAGAAGTTGTTGGCCTAGGGGATTGGCCTGAATCAACAAACGTTGCACCTGCTATCGAATGGAAAACCCCGTCCCAGGTTGTATTGATTGGTAAACTGCGAGTGCTAAGCCAACGCCTTAAGTTGCAGTGTCAGCATGAGCGTCTTTTAGTTGTGCATTCCCAGCTAAGGGCTTGATATTGACAACTTCTCTAAGCACTAACGATTTATCTACCTCACTTGTTAGATCTTGAGTACCTTTAGTATTCACATGAGAGCTGTTGCTAGGAAGAACTACTTCCCTGTCTCCTGAATCAGCTGCAGCAGGTTGGAGACACATAGAAGAATTGGCCAAAAGTTGCTTATAGATTGCCGAAGGGGTGCAAATGGATGGGGAGCTGGCTGTGTCACTTCTACTGGTGTTTTCATTTCTAAGTGATTTCATATGCTTGCCCGCAACTTCTTTCAAATCTGAAGCTCCCTTACATGGCGCAGTAGCAGCCAAGTTAAACATTGTAGTTGGCCTGATCAAACCTCCTCCGGATTGGTAGCCTGAGCATTTGTTTTTCTCTGCACTTGTTTTGCCCCCAGTGAAATTATTCAAGCTCATATTCTGCTTCTCATGAACTCTAGGCTCTAAAATAGTATCATGTGCTTTGTTTATGGCGTACACAGCATCTGAGCTCAACCCCGAAAGAATATGCAAACTAGCAGCATCTATTCCACAATTAGAGGCATTGAGTTCACTCTCATAGTGACTTATATCAACCCCAAGCAGCAATTTGGATACTGACTTAGAGTCAGTCTCACCTTTACCTGAAAAGTTTCCCTTCCCACTTTGGATTGAATATGCTGTCTTATTAAGCTGTGCAAGGAAAAATCTGAATCAAAATATATTGATATCCCCACGAACAAAAATGGTTGAAAAGCCATTAATATGCTTCTCAACAAGGTTGACAAAAAACCCACAATTAGTGGAATCAAATATGAAACTAATGGTTTGATTGCCATCTTTAAAGCTCTGATTCCAGAAGGTGACCACCGGATTCAGGAGTAAATATTCAAAACAAGAGCATACCCATTGAATCGAACAAAGGTTTAAGCAGAATCAAATGCTTTTCCGCTAACCTCTTTCAGTAATCTGTGTAAGAGAGTTAAAAGTTAAGACTCGAATTTCAAACCTCTTAGATTGAATTCTGAAGAAGTAATCAGCAATAGAGTTGGGGCTTTGTTGATTTCTTTCGTATAAAACCCTGCGCCATAATATATATATATATATATATATATATATATATATATATATATTGGTTCTGGTGAGAATACAATCTTAGAAGAGAAATGAGAATGAATCTGGTGCTTTAGATTGTGAGAATGAATCTGGTGCTTTAGGTTTTGGTTCAAATAAGAATAAGATCTAATGAAAGAAATGAGAATGAATTTGGATGGTTAGATCTAATAATGCATGTGCTGACTTGGGCTAACTCCTCTAGGGCATTTTGGGTTTTACACATCTCAATCTTATCTCATTATATTCTCTCCCCCATCTATTCCCGTAAGATCTGCTCCTTCTACACGACCATCTTCCTCGTAGTCACGTAAAGATTTCATTCTTCTATAGGGGATTCATTATCCGATCAAAGGCTCTCCATCATTGGCTAGGGTTTGTTCATAGCATTGATAAGAGATTCCATTTTGGATTCGAGTAAGTCTCCTTGTTTGTCAACTTTCATTTTAAAAAAACCCTCTTTTAGATTAATCTGCACACAATTTCAAATTTGGTGAGTTGCAAGTATCAATTTCTCAATTAATAATTGCGGTAATTGTGAATTTCTTTTAGTCAAGTGAAAACAAGAGTTCTTTTATCACGATGGGAGGGGTTGAATAGACAATTTCAATATTTGTTTCGATTCAAGTAGCTATGTCTTATTTTTCTCTTTTTTTCTGGCATATATATATGTCAATTTTCAATACCATTTTGGGCAGTGGTATCCAATATGGATGAAGATTGGTTTGATTTTATAATGCAGTTATATAGTCAATAAATCTATTAGGATTTCTTATTTGACTACTTCAAGAAGTTAACTTTGTGTGATGCATTTCTCGCTAGAACCAAGTTCTATTTTTCTCTGCTAATTATTTTTTGATCTTACTTGCATTAAAGGTATTCACAGTACATTTCAAAACAATTAGGTATGCATTGATAAATGTTATTCTATTTTACAGTAACTTACCAAAGTTAGTTTTTGGATTGCCATTGATAACAAGGTGGTTTGAGATATTAAATTAGCATTAAGGGTGTAGTATTTGGGTTTTTGCTTGTGCACTCTATTCTTCTTGATACACATGTTATTCATTTGATATTTATTTTTGCATGCACTCCTATCCATGAGCTTGATTATGCACTTCACAACTTTCACAGTGCACTTTTATACGTCCATCACCTTTCCCACTCCTCTGACTTTTTTTCCTATTTCAAACTTTCTCCGCAAATATAAAATTCTTAATGCATTATAAAGAATCTTTAATGCATTATATATAGTTTACAATACATATTCTGTGGAATTCACTCTGATTTCTAAAGCATAATAAGTATTTTACTGAGTTATAAGAACACTGCAGTGCATATTCTATAAACTGAATTATTTGGCTCTCAAACTGAGCTTGCATTCAAGTATTCTATATCTGTGTTTGTCGTTTTTATGTTGCTCAGTCTTTTTGTTTTTGACTTAGAGTACTGATTTCTACTATAGGTTCACAAGTGCTTATCTAAGGAAAATGAGCTTTGGGAAGCTTTGTTTTAACAAATGTTTGATAGCACCTAGAGTCTATACACTAATTTTAGACTAGTTTAGAAGATTGATTATGAACAACGAACACACCACACACCCAATGAGAAGGAAAAGGAATCAGTCACGCCTATGATTTTATGGTTAGGGTGGGAGTGGAAGATGGATTTGATTTTTTCCAGATTGTAACACATCTTAATGCTGATATTCAAATAGCCTAAATGTGTCTACTGTTTTGTGATACTGAATGTTTCACAATGCTTTAAATAAAATTTAACTTTGTTGTTTATTCTCCATTTTTTTGTTTTCTTGCATCTATGAGATTCATTTTGGAATCCGGAGACAAGATGCTTAATATTATTTCATTTTTTATTTCACACAATACTACATTCTAAACTAGATGATAGTGCATCATGTAGCTTTAGATACTACAATCGCATTGGTCTTGTGGGTTGACATATTTTTTGTGTTCATTGGAGGTTAATATACTATATTGCTGTTTTTTTCTTAGTTTTTACTTTTGTCTCTTATGTTGTTAAAAATGTTAGCCTTGATAGTGCTGATAGCCAATTTGGTGTTCTTTGGGGGTATATATTGCTACTTTTATTTTTTCTTCTAATTTTACTTTTCATTTCCTTTCTCCTTTTATTGTGCATTATCTTGATTAAGGTAATGCATTTACATGAGATTGTAATGCATTCTAAGAATTAAGGTAAATGATAACTCATTCTTCTACTATGCATTATAAAGAACTTCAAATAAATTTGTAAAGTATTTAGTGCATTACAAAGTATTTATAGTGCATATTCTATATACTCTAAACTGATTTGTAAGGCATGATAAGTATTTTAATGATTTATAAGATTAATGCATTCCATATTCTATGGACTCAATATCGATTTGTAAAGCAGGCTGCCTTTCAAGATTTAACTTCATATATTCCTTATGAGATTAGAATGGAAGCGAGCAGTATTCAAGCATTTACGGGTTCATGTTACAGTGTTGCAAGTCTGGCGCTCATCAAACAATATATGGACTCACATGTGGCTCAGTCAGCAATATTGATTTAATGGGATCCTGTTTTTGTTCTTGATTCTTCCTTACATTTGTTCTCTTGAAGTTAATTTTTAATTTGTATATATTTTTTATATTCCAAACTGCTATGCTTCACTTTTGTTTATGTGAATGATGTTTGAACACCCACAAAATATGCATATGTATGCGAGCTCTTTGGATGTAGATGGTGTATATGTTCTAAATGATCACAGGGTATTACCACCCGAACTTGCTCACAACTATATATGGTAGCGGTAAGCGGATCAAAAGTGTTAAAGCTTTGCTTCATGATTCTCCGTCAAATTACATTCTAGCTACTTTTTTAACAAGATTCTCCAATACTAATAATTACATGTGATCATTCTACATAGTACAAAATTTCTCTTCTTCTTTTTCAAATAAGAAGGTTCAAATAAATATGTACTTTTTTTTTAAATTCTAAATATTGTTGATTCATACATACATGCCCATATGAAAATTGTTTACCATTTTCATGACATGATGACAAATTTTTTGATAGAACAATATGCATTGTCAAACACTTTTTTTGCACCATCATTACGCTAGGCATCTCAATAGCTTGGTAAAATAAATAAATATCAACACAAAGGTACTTGATGAAACTTGTGAGTTGGATTAAAACTGCCTACTACAGATCACACAATATTAACTGCGTGCTAATCAGAATAGTAATGCTCAAAAGAAACCAGTGTATTTCTAATGTCTTTGCTTGAAAGCAATGAAAATGATCCAGAAGTGCATCCCAGAACATAAAGTAATGCATTAAATCTCCCAATGTCGTGCACTTAGTTCGAACGCAGCAAAACTACAAAAAAAATGGTTATTGCATCTAACTATCGTCATCATCCACTCCACTACTACAACATGTCTAAGAGGAGATAAAATATTTTTAAAAACCAACTAAAATCTACCAATGCTCCTCATTTTTGCCAAAATTTCATCATCTTACCCGTACTTTTTTTGCATTTTTATGTTCAAGTCCTTTGTTTCGTTTATTTTCGCCTCGACAACCGAATCATCACCTTGTCTTCCTTCATCCCACAATCCTAGCTTTTCAAACATTGTCTCGTGTATGTCTCAATATGTCTCGTGGTAGCCACACTGTAATCGTGTATTCTCATTGCATCTCTCCAGGCTAATGCTAGACGTCTAGTGTTTTACAACTTTACTTTTTCACCTTTGTTGTGCATCCCTCTCCCCATCCAATACTGAAGGAGCGTGTCACAAAAAAAATATTACTCGGGGTATTATAAAACCATTAGCACATGTTCTCATAGAATGCACATTTGGAGAGAACAAAAATAATCCAACACGAATTCCCTTTCAAGTCGTCACGCATATCACCTTCAAACCATAAAGCATTACATTCTCATTAAACTACATGGCATCCCATATATAGTGCATCACTCTGCATTGCTAACCATTATACTCCATCCGTTCTAAAAAACACTTCCTCTTTCATTTTTTTCACTTCCAACAAAACACTTCCCCTTTCTATTAAAAAACCACTTTTACCCTTACTTTTTCATACCCTACCTATCACATCATACTTTTTCTCTAATAATAAATCCATCACATCTTACTTTTACCCATCACATCAAAGGCAAAATTGGAAGTCAACTATAATTTTACACTTCCTTATTTTGTCTTATAGTCAAAGTGGGAAGGCTTTTTCCAAATGAGGGAGTATATTTTTGATGAATACATATTATTTCAACAATGATACATTTTACATTAAATAAATAATCCAGCCACATATTTGCAACAACAGTGCATCTAAACTACCATTTTCTGCATTGCAAACAATTATAAAACTCTCATTAATGCATTATAATAATTTGATGTTCGCAATACATTTTTGGATTGCAATACATAGATTTTCGTCTAATGCCACTACACACCGTGAAATGCTTAAAGCACGACTTGAAAAACACTATAATCGCATAATCCTTGTTGATAAAATCTGTTGATAAAATCTGACAAAAAAACAAAATTAATTTCATATATGGACCATCTGTTCAACAATATTCACATTTATGCAACAAAAAAATCGGCATACTTAAAGTCAACATCTCTGCATTTTCATCGACATCGCTCGGAGGTCGCAACTTTTGTTTCTCATCCACTTTCATAAAAATCAACAATTGGCCGGTGTTCTCGAACATCAAATTTGATAAGTAGTCGGTAGTAAAATTTAGTATTAATCCCTTCCTATTCTATCGCAATGAGTGGTGGGTGGATATCCATTCAATCATTTCCTATTTTAATACATTTTTACATTCCAAAATCACCCCTACTCTCTCAATCTCTTCCTACTTTACCGTAAATGTATATTTACTAACATTAAAGCATGATTGTTAGTTGACTAATGTTGTGCCGTCGGATGCTTTAGATCAAATGGCTAACATTTATTCTTATTTCTTTCATTGTGAGTAATTCTCACTAGAACCAACCCCTATATATATATATATATATATATATATATATATATAGATTATATAAATATATAGATTATATATATATATATATATATATATATATATATATATATATATATATATATATATATATATATATATATATATATATATATATATATATTTTGGTTCTGGTGAGAATGCGATCTTAGGAGAGAAGTGAGAATGAATCTGATGCTTTAGATTGTGCGATCTAAGGGTCAAGATTGCATCAAAATTAGGTGCAACAAAATGGTTTGAAAATGCATCACGTCGAAATGCATCATAATCCTTTGAAAATGCACTATCTCAAAATCTGAGCGCAGAATGCAATCTGAGCCGCACGATGCATCAGATCCGACGGCTAGATTTTATTCTCATTTCTCTCCACAAGGTGCATTCTCACGGGAACCGGCCCCTATATATATATATATATATATATATATATATATATATATATATATATATATCATGGCGGCCCCTTCTCTCTCTAGGTTTCCGGCCACCGGTAACCCGCCGGAAAAACTTATCACACACACCAAGGTGCCGAGAAAAACCCTTTTCTCAGACCTTCTCAAGGGAAATTTCTCCATCCCTGGGCAAAGTGGTGGTTTCTACAAGGGCGCCCCATCAGTTATTTTCTCAGCGGAGGAAGAGTGCAAGCTCGCTGGAAACTTTCAGTTTACAGTGGTGGGAAGAGGTTCTAAGCATATTTCCATTAGGGAAGCTGAAGACTTCCTTATTAAAGGTGGTTATAAGGAGTTCAAACTTCGACGCTTGTCACCCAAGGAGATTATTTTCATTTTCAAGCATGAGGAAGATTATTTACGTTGGTTTCACCGGAGACGCTGGACCATTAAGGGAAACCTTATCAACCTCACCAAGTGGACCCCTGAGCACTCCTCCTCAAAAGATTGTCCAATTATTCCACTCTGGGTTGAGGTAAGCAAGCTCCCACTTCATCTTCACGATCATAATGTTCTATATGCTATTGCTTCCTCCCGAGGAAAACCCTTGAAGCTGGACTCGAACTCGGTAATTGGAGTTTTCCCTGATCGTACAAGGTTCTGTGTTAAAATGGATGTTTCTATCTCCAAGCCCCCTAAAATCCATGTTCGTTTAGGTGCTAAGGATCTTTGGCTTCCTTGTTCATACGAAAACCACACACCATATTGCTCATCTTGTTCTAGATTTGGACATGCACCAAAAGATTGCCGGATTAAAGGGCCGGAAAACCTCACTATCGTTGCTCCGCCCAGTGAGGTGGGACCGGCAGGAAAAGTCTCACGAGGGCGTAGTACAGATGAGGGATGGATATGGGTAAAGGGGAGAAGCCAAAAACACATAGCAAATCAGAATAGTGTGGGCCAGTCAAACTCTAAAGTTTCTGCTTTTCCCTACAAGCCCACTCCCCATAGCAATAATTTTTCCTCTTGGAAACAAACGGGTTACTCCCAGCTAAGTAAGAAGGTTGCCCCACAGTCAGAGCAAATAATGGCAGGCCCTATTACCACACCTCTGACAGAAGACTGGGAATCTCTAATGCCTACAATTGAGGAGATCCAAGAAGAAGAGCCTTTGATCCTATCCTCCATTATTCAACCTCATGCCTCGGATTTGGAATCTTTTTCCCCTATAGAGGTGGTGGAAGATAGTCCTTTCCCTGACCTCTCATACCTAAAAGTGGATAACATCATTGGCTGCATGGATATTGTTCCCTTCGTTCCTCTTTCGAACAACCAGTTTGACGATGAAAAACCCTTGGTTAGTATGGTTACTATCCCGGGTAGCAAGGATGATTGTTGGATTCACCCCAATATGGTATGTGGATTGGAAGGCCATAAAAAGGATGCTCAGGAAGAAGTTGAAACCCCCATCCACTGTCACTCTGAGGGGGAAGAAGGTGCAAAACCTTTCATCAATGGCAATCTGGTCCCTTTGGATATGGACCTTAGATTCTGTTCTCAAGTCCCTATCCCTCTCCCCAAATTCTCCAAATCAAAGAGAGAGATCCCCCCATCGGGGATGATGACAAGAAGTAAAACTAATAAAGGCGTATCTCCCAACCCTTTTATATCATGAAGCTTCTTTTCTGGAATATCTGTGGGGTTGCCTCCTCCCTCAGCAGACTTATTTTCCTTAAGAGGAAGCACAATTTAGATTTCTTATGTGTTATTGAACCTCTCGTCCACCCCTCCCAGATTCAAACCTACATGCTTCACCTAGGTTTTACACATCACCTCTTGTCCCAAAGCAACAAAATTTGGATTTTCTGGAACTCTCTTTCCCTTACTCTCCTGTCATATACAGAAGTTTCCCAAGTTACTCACTGTGAATTCTCTTTG